AATTTCTCCACATGTGATTCACAGCTTGTCCTCTGCACCTCGATGTTGACTGGTTCTTATTGACCTTAAATCTGTCATTGTTTATTTCTTTGTTTTCGTTGTATCTCCTATTGGTTTGATTTTTGTTCCTATGTTCCTGCATAATTTTCTTGATTGGTTGATAGACTGGATTGATTTCAATATATTTGTTTATTGCTGATTGACCTGAGTGCTAGGCTTCTAAAAATTCTCTGGTATTTTTGGAATTGCCTCTGTTCAAAATCTGCACATTTTCCCAGTCGAGTGTATGTCCATAGTTGTCCACGTGTATTGATATGAGTGAAGAAATGTCGTGGCGTTTGACTGCTAATTGGTGTTCATGTAGTCGAGGATGCAGGGGGCGCCCACAGATTAACTCTGGAAACATCTCGATTTAACTGAGTATTGTTTAACATCGATTTCTCGGTGTCTTACTGCACGAATACATTTAATATACCGTACAACTAGGCATCTATAATTAATTGACTATGTCACATAATTACTTCTTTTCAGGATCCGATTATGTGCCACAGATTACTACTGACTTACTTGCTTACTTCGTTACGTCTGTTACCCCTCTCAAAGGAACATAGGCTGTCCACCAGCATTCTCCAAATAACATTGTTCTTCGCTTTTCTTTTCAGTTGTTTCCAATCGCTACACACACCTTGGGTGTCTGCTTCCGATTACCGATTCAATATATTTCTTAGATTTCCTCATTTTCCTTTCTCTTCAGTATTCCAAATTGGGGCTCGCCTCGTGATGCGGTTTTATGTATGCACGATCCACCTCAATTGTCATTGCGTAATTCCTACATCAGATGAAAGCTGGTTTGTTCTCTCCCACACTAGGCTGTTACTGATCGTATCCGACCGACAGACATTGAGTATGTTGCGTAGACAATTTTTTATATAGATACTTGTACATTTTTCTTCATCGTTGCAGTAGTTCTCTAAGATTCAGCTCAGTAGGATAGAATAGTCGTGAGTTCTGTATTGGATATTCTGAATTTATTGTTATCTGACAGTTATTTTGAGTTACATATGTTCTTCATTTGTGAGAGTGCTTTTCTAGTTTGTCAATCCTTACCTTCACGTGTGCATTAGATCCTCCTTATTTATAGTTCTGCACATGTGTACGAAATCTTTCACCTCTTCCATAGCTTTCCCATTGAGTGTGATTGGGTTGATGTTCTCTGTGTTGTATTTGAGAATCTCGCTTTGTCCCTTGGTCAACATATGGAGGGAAGCACCGGATACAGTGGACAGCTAGGATTCAGCAGGTCGATTTAAACTTCGAAGATGATCTGACTCTTCTATCACACAAATGCAGGAGAAGACGACCAATGTAGCAGCATCCTCAGCCGCGGTAAGTCTCAATATAAACAAAGGGAAAAGCAAGACTCTCCGATACAATACAACAGGCACCGATTGAATCACGTTTGATGGAGAAGCTTTGGAAGATGTGAAAACCTTTACATATCTGGGCAGCATTATTGATGAACATGGTGGATCTGATGCAGATGTGGGGGCGAGGATCGGCAAAGCAAGAGCAGCATATTTACAAATGAAGTGGATAGGACATACATTGAGGAAAGCAGCCAACTGCGTCACACGACAAGCCCCCAAATGGAATCCTCAATGCCAAAGGAGAAGAGGAAGACCAAATAACACATTACGCCGAGAAATGGAGACAGACATGAGAAGAATGAACAACAGTTGGATAAAACTAGAAAGGAAGACCCAGGAAAGTGTGTTTTGGAGAATGCTGGTCGGCGGCCCATGCTTCATTGGGAATAACAGGCGTAAGTAAGTAAAGTAAGTAAGCTTTATCCCTTGTATATGTTAAAGTCTACTTCAGTATATGCTGCTGTTACATTATCTGTTTTCACATGGATTGATGTGTTTGTATGAGATAAAAGGACCATCTCATCTGCGAAGTCCAAATCGTCTAGTTACATGAAAACTGCCGATTGCATTCCACAAATGACTAGAATAAAATTAATTTCATATGCAGTTTGGACTTCTATCGATTGATCCGCTAGTTACGAAATCACTTTGTTTTAATATTACAGTCGAAATCTTATTTAAATATACTATTTAAAAAACATACTAATTATAGTAATGTAACGTTTTGGCTTCAATCAAAATGGTTTGTTTTTCATTGTATTCATATAAAGTAAACTTCATTTGCATATAGATATCAATCAGGTATGAGAACAAACTACTGATCAATATTTTAGTAGCATAGAGTCAATTTACGTTACAATAAATTCATTTAAACAAACTAGACTATCTCAATTCAAGCCTGAATGTATATTACATGTAATATGAAACTAATAATGATTTGTAAACAGAGATGGATAGTGACTGATTTGTGCCTAGTCTATACTACTTAAATGTAAAAGTTTTATATGACAGTATATATCAGTTAGTTGTTTACAAATAAATAAATATATAACGAATTTATTAAGTAAGCTATATTGATAGTTTATATCAACTCTGATATATGATCTATATAATCAATTGACTCATGATTTCGACTATGAAAATACTGTAATCTCCACAAAACCCCTTCTGATTATAATCATATGCTCACTAGTGACTTAATTCAAGATACATTTCCTGGAGTTCTAATGAGAAGCAGTTACCAGTGGAGTTTAACCAAGTCTGTTGTAGAGATATCAACTCACTGCTCTGGCGCGAGACTGGTAGGTCCTAAGTTCAAATCTCATGAGGCGGGATCGTGGATGCGCACTGTTGAATATATATATATATATATGCAACGCGAAAAACGATGTTTTGTGAGTCCTTGTTTTTATTACAGGTTCGACCGTCGCAACGGATTCATAAAATTTTTTCAGATAATTCTCAATTTATGATATTATGAATTATATACACATTTATGTGACACATTCTGAAATTCCTTACCATCATTAGATTTCCACAACATTTCTTCATTATAAATAATAATCCACGGGTTTCTGTTCCCTTTTTAGCGATGTGAACATTTCAATCTTGAACAACGGTCATTTTTAAATCTAAAACTATGTTTGAAGCGAACGATACTGATTTCAATTCCAAGAGTGAACATCAACTCTGAGATACAAGTACATCTAGCTGACGAGTCCCAAATAGAACGAAATGTACGTTCTAAATTCAAAATACTAGCCACTATTCATCTTAACTATGTTTTTTGCGTGTTTTCTTCCAAGTAGCATTGTAGTGAACAAGAACACGAGTAGGGACAATCGAATGTATTGTAACACTACATTACAGAATATCTCATTAAAATATGAGAACTATATAGTGAACAGTTAATTTGCAAAATAACAATCAATTGTCTCAATTTGACTGTTTCTTCTGCAAATATCCGTCCATAGTCTCCGATTATAATTATTCATGCATTTTTGTATTACTTGCGTGACATTCCCGTTCTCTCCTTATCGATCTTCTAATGAAATATATTCAATGCTCGACCATCATTGTATACTACTTATGTGGATATCAGTAATTCACACCATAGCATGAAGTTCTCACAATTGGTATATTATAAATTTAAGTAGAAAATTTGATTTGTTTTACAAACAGTAATTAATGTTTAATGTGGAATTGGACCTTACACTGTTGTGTTGTTTTTTTTCAAGATCATATTAAGTATATAAACATAAATGGTTATCAATCTTTATCATATACAGTATCTAAATTAAAAACATTACCTCACTTCATTTATGAAACCATTCTAGATCACGTGACATTACTTATATCCATGGAAACATATTTCTAGTTTATTAACAAATTGTTCTGTTAATGAATTTCTATGATTTATTTTATTGACTAAACAGATTGTGTATATCTGTAATCCTTGCAAATGATCACAGTTATATGATTTAATCCTTTCGTTGTATCTCAGATATTAATGAGTTAATGAAAAATAGATAAGGCATTCTATTCTTATTCATTACTGTTACTGAGATCCTTCATAGTTAGTATGATATTTATAGCAAGATTGACTACACCTTATGGCTTATACACACAATTTCTTGATAGTCCATTGTTTATTAAGCAAACTAACTATTGTTGGGCGCACAATCAAGTAACTGAGCTAAGGAGTTATTGAACGCCTCCTTTCATTGTTAGGAAAGGCTATAGTCAAAACAATACATATACGCTTATATAAAAACAGTTATGGTTGATAAGTGATTATCACCAAGGTCAAAATGTGACTCAAGAAGAATGAATAAATTGGCTTATCCAGAAGATGGAATAAGTTATATGAGCTTTACATGGTAACTGACATTACAGTATAGATACTACTTTATATTGGAATAAGACCTGATGAGGATCTAATTGAAAACATTTTTCTGATTATATATGTTGTTCTAATTCACAGCATGAGAATTTCTGAAATTTTGTAGTTAATTGTTATCTTATTCCAATGAATACTTCGCTACGTTATGAATATTTGAAATAAACTTTTACAGATTAAGCTTGAACTTCATCATGTAATTCTGTTTTCTCAAACAGAATTTAATAGTTTAAATGCAAAGATGGATGATGACTAGCAGGGGAATCTAGGACTCACGTTTCGTTCTATTTGCGACTCGTCAGCCGGATGTACTTGTATTTTAAACAACAATGGGAAAATACAAGCAATCAATACCAAGAGAATTTAGATTTTATTACTTTCCAAATACACAAATGACAAATTTTCTGTTATATCTAAAGCTTTGATTCTTACTATGCCGAGTACTACTGGACTATTTGAACCATAGAGCCCCCAACGTCGCTAAGAGAGAAAACAAAAGACTAGTAAGTAGGAACTTTTATTCCCCCAAAACAGTATCAAAATAAAGTACAAAAACCTCATGTATTTATAGTTTTTGACTGAGAGTAAATTATCATTTCAGACAACCAATAGGCACATAGGGGTCATTTTTATCCATCCAATGGGGAAGCTACATGTTGACATTCTAGAATATTCCCCTAGCAGTGATTGGATGGAATGTCTGCGGCTCTTTCTGGGCTTCTTAAGGTTTCCTAGAGTTTACCAACGAGCCGCCCTTACATTTTCTTTCATTTCCATTTATATACAATATTTTTTGGTATATATGTAACTGAGTGCTTCAAATTAGATTTTGACAACTCATACAATAAACCGCATTTGTTTCAGTATGTATCACTGATATCATATTGATTTGATAAACGTTTTTGTGCTTGATACAAAATACATGGACTGTAAATTGTTTCCCGGGGAAATAAAAAAGTAACACAGTCTTAATTCACATTAGTTTTATTCAATATTATATTTTTATCACAGTATAGAATTCTCAGCACAATTTATTTCAACACGTTTCCGTTTCTTAATTCTCGATCGATTCTGACGACAAATATTGAATGATCAACATTTAGAATTTAGCAGTTCAGTCAAACGACATCTGAATAGTGTATATTCTTTTCGCTGTATATTACCTGCCTGCAACCACGATATCTCTAATTAGGCCTTTTCTAACTTTTACCACGAAAGGTTGTGCACTTTTCAGAAATGCACCTAAATATGTTATATGATTAATAGCCATAATGATGTATTAAAACTAACAAAATTAAACATTCATTTTCATTTACGTTATGACCCAGGTCCTAGGTTCAAATCTCGCGAGGTGGAGTTGTGAATGAGCACTACTGAGGAGTCCCGCAATAGGAAGGAACGGCCGTTCAGTGCTACCAGATTTTCTATGGTAGTCTAGCTTCAATTGACTCATAATTTTAACATTATAAAATTAGAACTCTTGTTGAAATATCTAAATGACAGGAACAGGTTGCTCAAGATGTTAAAGCAGGCCATCTTTTCACTAACTACTCACATCCCTCAAATAATTGTCAACGATTTAATAAAATGTAGTTTATGTCCCCCCCTTCTAAAAAAAACTACAGAAACAAAAGTTAAGATAAAAATAAAAATAAATTTTGATTGGTTACAACTAATTGTTTGTAATGAATATTGATACCAAGTAATTAAACATATTCTGTTCTAAATAAAAGGATCGATTTTGTATCAGCAAAGAAATAAATGAATCCTTCATCTACATGACTGATATTACTAAAATACAAAAAAAAAATAATAAAACAGAAAAATGTTTTTATAAAGTTCACATTAGTTATCACAATAGAGAATAATCAATAATCCATTATCAAAATGGGGGTTATGTGAAGATTTTAATAATTTTATATAGTTAAGATCATGAGTCAATTGAAGCTAGACTATCATGGAAAACCTGGAAGCACTGGACAACCGTTACGTCTTATTGTGGGACTCCTAAGTTAGTGCGCATCCACGACATCGCCTCGCGAGATTCGAATCCAGAACATGAGTCATAACCTCAATGAAAATGAATGTTTAACTCATTCATAATAAATTGTATAACTAGTATTGTTGTATGTGTTACTGATGTCAACAGATATAAGTAGTATTTATCATCAGTCAAAAATGAAATACCTGGAGGTAGAAGGTTAGGAAGATCAAAGAAAAGAGAACGAGAACAAAGAATGATTGGTATGGAAACGAAAGAACAATGAATTCTCAGATGATTGAGTGACATTTTTGCAAATGAAGTACGTACTCAGATTCTATAATTTTGTATTCAAATACATTTGGTTGTCCCCAATGTTGTTTACGTTTACTATAGTATAACAACAGTTTTCCCCTGGTTAAATATAAGACTCATAAATATGAAAGTAAGTTAAAGTTTTTAAACAGTTTCAACAATGATATTATTTGTTAGTTCTGTTAACTGTTTATAAAGAATCAACATTTTTGTTATTAGGTAGCATCCAGAGAGCGCTGTTCGTCCTACTTGACTATCTGTAATCAGTAGATTGATAAATTATATGTCGGTATTTTAACAAAGCGACTCCGATTTCAGGTATAATTATGAACATTGACACATCAAGCTAATGATTCTTAAATAGAGGGGAAAAGGTATGTTGCATTTCACTGTTAACTTATAAGTACAAACAGTATAGAGTCATGCTTTTAAAGAGTCCATATGTCGACAATGATTGATCAAACTCAGTTCCGAAAATGAACATAACATGTGAAGATAAAACTTGCAACAATTAAATCAACATATAAATATGATTTTTAAAGGTTTCTTTACATAAAAAAAACTATATTACCTTCCATAATTACTTCCAACAACACAATGCCATGTACGTCCATATTTTTCATTAAATTCTCTTTTCAATGTACTAGCCACATCTTTATCATGTTGAAGAACTCTCATTGCTTTTAAACATGTTTTAATAGCATGTTCTTGCATATCTTCTGGCATTCCAGTACTTTTCACAATTACTTTCTGCGGTTCCATAATCAGTGTAATTCAAGAAAGTTTGATTATTGTAGACCTATTACTGATGTATACACTTAGCAACATTCACTATCTGACATTTATCACAATTAAAAGTAATTTAATCCAATTTAATGCTTTATGTGTACATAAGTTGATACAAGTTAATTGATCACATGTTTACTAAATATGATTACTTGGAATAATGTAAATGGATTCTCTATGTGTAAGTGTGTGTGTGTGTGTATGTGTGTAAAACATCTTGTGAAATGTCTCTTGATATTACTAATTCAGGAATATAAACAATTTCTTAGTTTCTATGTATAAAGAATGATAGATCAAAGAAGACATAATATACATTCTTTTTTCTATGTGCAGTATTATAGCGCTTTTGTTGTATTGCCAAGACATTTTTGGAAAATTTAAAATTTTTTTTAGACAACTATCTTCAATTATTGACTAATGGTTTTACAGAAAAAATTTATTTTGACAAGTTAAATCAATCAAATGAAGTTTTATTTCATTTGCCAAACATTATCCTCGTAACTAACAATGTGGTGTGGTCTACTTCTATCCATATAAATAGTATATAGTGATGGTTAGACATAGAATTTATTTTGACGGAAGATCGATAAGGAAAGAACAGGGATAAAGCGCAATTGGTAGGAAGATGCATAAACAACGAAATTAGAGAAGATGAATTGATATTTACAGAAGAAATAGTAAAGATTGAGACAAATGGTTGTTATTTTGCAAATTAACTGTTGACTGTATGGTTATCAGAATTTAGTGAGATAGTCTGTAATTTTGTGCCTAGTTACATTCGATTATCCTCAACTGGTGTTCTGTTCACTACAACATTACCGCTTATACTCTTACTACTTCTACCACTATGGGATTTGAATCGATAACTGGATCTCTGTGTTAATGTGGTATAACAACTTGAACTGATGTACGTACGTACGAAGTTCTACGTTGTGACTGACTGACTGACTGATTGATCCTGGCAACATATGTTAATATGATTATACTAATAATATCAAAGATTATAAAGAATATATATTGTACGAAATAAGCTTAGATAATCCAATGAATATTTATGTTTGTTGTACAATGTGTATTGATTCATCTATATTATAGTAACTGCCGAAATTCTGATGTTACTATTAGTTATTTATTTATGTGATGAACAATAAGTTCGACTAAATGTAGATTTCCTTCTTCATGTCATCTAAGCTTATTTGGACAAATAAATAGTATTGTGATGTGGTCTACTTAGATCCATATAAGTAGTATATGGTGTTGGTCAGACATAGAATGTATTTTGGCAGAAGACCGATGAAGAAAGAACTAAAACGAAACGCAATCGGTAGGAAATTGCATGAACAATGAAATTAGAGTAGAAACGGTGAAGATTGAAACAATTGCTTGTTAATTTGCAAATTGTCTGTTCATTGTATGGGTTTTAGAATTTACTGAGATAGTCTGTAATTTTTGCTTAAGTACATTCGATTGTCCCCAGTCGTGTTTTGTTCACTACAGTATCAGTAGTCTGTGCATAAACAGGTGTCACATAAATTTGAATTCCGTAATATCGATCGCGAACTTTTGTCTCAAAAATAAAAAAATATCTTGATGATTAGTTGAAAAAGTTTTATGTTTACCATTGAAATGAATTTTGGGGAGTTAAAATTGTAACCTTTATTCTGTGGAACCAATGATTTCAAGGTAAAGACTATACCATTAACGACACTTTATGAAAATCCCACTATACCATAGGTCAACTGAAATTGAAATTGTAAATCAATGAATTTTAAAACAATCTCAATCCTATTGTGGTGTGGTCTACTTATATCCATATAAGTAGTATATGGTGTGAGTCAGACATAGAATGTATTTTGGCAGTAGACCGATGAGGGAAGAACTTAAATGAAGCGCAATCGTTTGGAAAATGCACGAACAATGGAATAAGAGAAGAAACAGTGAAGATTGAAACAATTGCTTGTTAATTTGCAAATTGACTGTTCATTGTTTGGTTATCAGAATTTACTGAGATAGTCTGTAATCTTTGCTTAAATACATTCGATTGTCCCCAACTAGTGTTTTGTTCACTACACTATTGAATACCACTTATACTGCATACAATCCTATGAAGGAATGAAATTACTTACTGATGACGAATGTCAAACTGTGACAAATTAATTCTCCAGTATTGTTTAATTTTCTACTATCATTGTAGCTTAACACTGTTTGTAGTATCGGTTGTTTTGTCAAGCCCATATGCTTTATTCTTACTTCTGGACAACTCATTTCACCTATCCATCATAAGTCATGTTTTCACCTTGTCAGTTATCCACTTATTAACCCTGACCATTTTTATATGAGCGTAGGTGTGTGTACACTTCATCACATGTCTGTCATTTATTCTTGTCTGACTATAAATGTTGATCAACGCTTGCTTAAAATGAGTTGGCTTACCCGCCATCTCCAATAGTGTCATTTCCACTTCGCTCGCTGATATTTAGTCGTTTGCTTATAACTTTCTGGCCTGTGTCATTTGTCAATAAAACTGTAGTTGCCGCTTCTCTTTTTGCCTTCTAAATTTATGCACCGTTAAGAAGTGTATCATAGCGGTTAATGGAGGTGAACGATTAACGAAGCACGGTACTACACGTTCATAACATAACATTTCACGTACAGAACAAACACTGAATTAAGTATTGTTATTTCATTTTCACGTAATAAATAATCTATTGTTCAGCTACTTTTCTGTGCAAGTAAAGCATTTTTATATAGTCTTACAGTTTATACTTCTATAATACACTAAGAATGGATATTGAAACTAGGAAGGAAATCTTCAAAACATCACTTCAATTTATGTCACATTGATATTAATCAGTGAATCAATAAACTCAAGTTTTTTCAACGACATGTTACTGTTTATAGATAACAGCCTATAGATTAACTCCGCTTGTAGCTCTTCTAAAGTTACTGCTGGTCCCAAGCCCGGGTAAAGGAGGAGGGTTGGGTATAGGTTTAGCGACTGCATCCGGTAGAAAAACTAACTAGTTAAACAAACGCTAACCAGAAAAAACAATTTAAAACATTTAAACTCTGTCCTGGGAGTTGAAGGAATAGCTATGACGTCTCATGATGAAAGCTGAAATTTTTCGGAAGTCACACATTTTATAAGTACATGGAACGTCCAGACAATGTGGGAGACAGGAAAGACCAGTCAAATAACAATGGAAATGAGGAGATACAAATTTACAGTACTCGGAATCAGCGAAACCCATTGTACACAAGCTGGACAACAAAGGCTAGGTAAGGGACAGTCGCTGCTGTACTCCGGTCACGAAGGGGAAGATACTCCACACACCTAGGGAGTTGCTCTAATGTTCTCCAGAGAAGCACAAAATGCACTTGTAGGATGGGAATCTCATGGATTCAGGATAACCAAAGCATCATTCAAAACAAAAAAGGACAGGGTCACGATGAATGTTATCCAATGTTATGCACCCACTCTTGAATAACAACTAGAAAAAACTGGAAAGGATTGCCCACGACAGGGGTGGATGGAGAATGCTGGTGAGCGATCTATGCTCATTCACGAGGGGTAACAAGCGTAAGTAAATAAGCTTATAGATTAATGATCTATGAAAATTCTGTAAACATTAAAACATCTTTGTTGTTACAGTCAGTAGATCAACATTTTAATTTTTATTCAGTCATTGAAGTCCAGATTTTAATGTGATCAGAGATTCTCGATTAAAGTGAATATATTAATGAATCAAAATCCAATATAAAATAAATAAAACTGATTTTTAAAAATGTCAAGTTTCACAAAGAGAAATAGACCCTTCAAATCGTAAAATGCTTTGAATTATTTCTATACGGATAAAAGTTTTATTCAACAGGGTATATACACATATGGTATGTGCTGCTTATGTCGACACAAGTAGTATATAACATCATTCAGAGGTGAAATGACTGGCATCAGAAGAGAACGGAAACAGAGAGTAGTTGTCATAGCGATGAGGGAACAATGAAGTTCGTGTCAATTGATGGAGGATTTACAAATGAAGTATTGAATGTATAATTTTCATTCTTACTAAAAAACTCTGTACTTTGTAATAAAATATATATTGGTTGTCCCCACTTGTGTTCTCATTCATAGTACTTATAGTAATGTTATAGTTTAAATATGTCAACTCTTTCTATACAAGATGTTAACTGGAACATTTTTAAAGGTTGTTTATTTATCAATCACGTATAAGCGCTATGTTCAATGTTTATTAATCTTGATTAAATTTTTTTCACTTGCGCAAGCAAGTGGTTATCAGGACTCAGTAGCTAAGTGGATAACGCGATGGCGTTTAAAGCGAATAGTACTGGGTTCGAGTCCCAAAATGAACATCAACTCTGATATACAGGTACATCCAGTTGACGAGTCCAAAACAGGACTAAAAGCGCGTGACTGGATTCCACTGTTAGCCACTATCCATCTTTGCTTATAATGCTTGTAAATTAAGGCTATATCGAGACAATACGCGCAGTATGCACATATATCAATAATAGACTGATCGGTTGCAGTCCTAAACAACAATCGGAAGATACAAGCAAACAATAACAAGTGAATTTGGCTTTCTATATTTTAACAGTGGACATCTCAGAATCAATCAGAATATTTGGACTTCGCAGATGACTTAGCCCTACTATCTCATGCACACGAACAAATACAGACGAAGACAACAAATGTAGCAGCGACCTCTGCATCGATAGGCCTCAACATATACAAAGGAAAAAGTAAGATTCTCAAATACAACACGGAGAACACCAACCTAGTCACACTTGATGGCAGAACTCTGGAAGATGAAGAAACATTCACGTACTTGAGAAGCATCATTGATAAACAAGGAGGATCTGATGCCGATGTAAAGGTGAGGATTGGCAAAGCAAGGGCAGCATTTCTACAATTGAAGAACATATGGAACTCAAAACAACTGTCAACTAATTTCAAAGTGAGAATCTTCAATACGAACATCAAGACAGTCAGTTCTACTGTACAGAGCTGAATTGTGGAGAACTACTACATCCGTCGTCAAGAAGGTACAGATATTTATAAACAATCGTGTACGCAAAATACTCAACGTTCACTGGACGGATATAATCAACAACAGAGTTTTATGGGAGTGGACGAATCAGCTTTCGGCTGAAAAGGAAATTAGGAAAAGACGTTGGAAGTGGATCGGACATATATTGAGGAAATCACCAGTGAACATCACGAGGCAATCGCTAACTTGGAATCCGAAAGAGAAGTGGAAAAGTGGAAGTCCAAAGAACACATAACGTAGATATAAAAAGGATTAATAACCACTGGAAAGAACTGGAAAGGATTTCCCAGAACAGGGTTGGATAAAGAATGCTGGTGTGTGGCCTATGCTCCTCTACGAGGGGTAACAGGCGTAAGTATGTTAGTACGTAAGTAATTTCCTGGTCATGTTCCACTGAATCATTTACTTATAATTCTACCTACTTATTGTCTATTTTTTAATTTAAACATAATGTGTAAAAATAAATGTTTTGATTTTGTTCTAATATTTTCTCTATAGAGATTATTAAAGTAACTACACAAATGAATGGTGTATATGCACACAAAGTTACTTAATATTCTGATTGCAAACAGTTACTATGATATACATGGTTGTATTATGTCTTCCATTTCGTATTACATATACATAGATTACATATGTAAATTTGATCTTTCTAGTTTACACATTCTAATATAGTTTGTATGTGTATTTCATTCAACCAATCTTTATAGAATGTTTTATTCATTTAAATTGAATCATGGTAAATCATGATAACATAAGATGAAAAGACATTATTCATTTAGTTGAAGTTATGTTACTAAATTAAACTTTGTACTGTTTTGGGTCAGTACAAATCAACATACTGTCTATACACATGCACGTACATATATATATAAGTAAGTTCCTGTAGTTAATAGGAGTCTTATTTTACATTACCCTACAGTTCTTTTTCTCCTTGAATATTCAATTGTTTCAATATAATAATGGAATGTAAAAAAGCCGTTGTTAAAAATGCTGATATGTCAGATGATATGCAACAATGCGCAGTGGATACAGCTGCTCAAGCAATGACTGAATATAGTATTGAAAAAGATATTGCAGCTTATATTAAAAAACATTTTGATAAAAATTATGGTCCAACATGGCATTGTGTTGTAGGTAAAAATTTTGGAAGGTAATTATTAATAACATGTTTAATCATTTTCGATAGGGTTCTTTTTAATCAATGTTGTTTGATTACACTATATGAGATATTGCATAATGTTTTATGAGATAATCATTCATTGTAGTAGGTAATTTAAGTTGTACTACATTGTAGGAGGTGAAACTAAGTAAATGTCGATCATGAGAATCGATATAATCTTTCATTTTGCCATGATCGGGTATATGGCTTCTAAATATGCTACTATTGAATACTTCAGTATTAACTGAACTAATTATCCAAAAGTAAGATTTTGTGTTAAATTTTCTCAACAAAATTAGATTTTAAATAGTTGACATCATGAGTCAATTGAAGCTGTCTCGTTCTGGTATGAGACTCCTCAGCAGTGCGCGCTGACGATCACGCCTCACGAGACTCGAATCCAGGATCTATCGGTCTCACAAGAGAACGCTTAATCCCTAGACCACTGAGCCGGCCGGTAACCAACGGTGTTAATGTCTAATTTCAACCAATCCACAAAATTGAGCAACATTGTCTTCAGTGAGTTACTATCATACAACAGACCCAGTTGAACTCCACTGGTCACTGCTTCTCACTAGAACTCCAGGAACTACTTATATTGTTAGAATCAGAATGAGTTTATTTTTGACAAATCCATCAAAAAATTAAACGGAAAACAGAACAACTAAGCCTAAATTTCTAACCTCATTTCATAATAAATATATTTTTCGTTATATTGTAATTAGTAGAAAAGTTTTATTTTTTCTCTGAAGTAGTGACTTACATTAAGTTACGAAACGTTCGAATTACAAATTTTCTATTCATTAGAATATAACGAAAAATATTATTTTTGCTATTAACTTTCTACCGAATACTCGGATCTTAAGTCTAACTTTGGCATTGATATCTATAAACTTACGTCATTTAGTTTCAACTAATATATATCTTAATTTTAAATAATAGCTGCCTTACTTACGACTGTGATCCTTCGTGGAGGTGTATAGGTCGCACAACAGTATTCTTCATCAAACCCTGTTCTGGGCATTTCTTTTCAGTTCTTTCCTAAATAACTGCCTATTCTAAATAATTTTATTAATAATTTTAATTGTGGATATACTTACGTTTTTCAACAATACTTACTTACGCCTGTTACCCCCAATCGAATATAGGCCGCCGACAAACATTCTCCAACCCACTCTGTCCTCGGCCTTCCTTTCTAGTTTTATCCAACTTTTTTGTTCATTCTTCTCATATCTGTCTCCATTTCTCGGTGTGATGTGTTCTTTGGTCTTTCTCTTTTCTTTGAACTTCAGGACACCATGTGAGGGCCTGCCTTGTGACGCATTTTTTCAACAGTACTATCTAGTAAATTGTTTTTTCTTTAATAAATACAACAATTCCTTAGTAATAAGGAGTTCATCTAATAATGATTTACTGAATTAGATTATACAAGTTAGTGTGTTTTTATCAAGCTTGTTTTCAACGGTATCGGGTTGTTGACTCTATGTTCAAACCTCTATTTTAACTCCAGCTTGAAATCGGCAGCAACCCTAGAAGCCTTACAAGTGGAGTTAAATTACATTGAGTTTACTTTTGATCATAATCTGGAAGAATTATTTTATATATATAATATTCAATAAACCATATTATTATTGTTATATTTATTTTTAATTAATTATTCTTTCATAATTGAAAGCGTGATTCAATTGAAACTAGACCACCATGGAAAACCTGGAAGCACTGGAGGGCCATCTCATCCTATTGTGGGACTCCTCAGCAGTGCGCATCCATGACGACGTATCGCGAGGTTCAAACCCAGGATCTACCAGTTTCGCTCCAGAGCACCTAACCCGATAGACCACTGAGCCAACATCCGATGGTGTTTATGTCTAACTCCAACTAATCCACGAAGTTAAGCAACCGTTCACTAATTGTCTTCAGTAAGTTCTTATCTCACAACAGACGTGGTTTGAACTCCACTGATCTAGATTCAATTGATTTACGCTTTCAATTATGAAAATACTAAATCTCCACACAAAAAACCTCTTTCTGATATTAATTATTCTTTATTTTTATAGTTACGTTACACATGAAACCAATAATTTTATTTATTTCTACTTACAAAATGTTGCGGTACAATTATTTAAATCAGGATAAATAATCAATTAAATCAATCAAAAATTCAATGCACATATCAAATTGTTTACTTCAATTAGTAGAAATTTATTGTTATTGGTGATCATTTTTCCGAAAACACAAAAAAGAAAAAGAAAGAGGGGGAGAAAAAAAAAGAAAAAAAAAACAGTTTTTAATTCATTTTGTATACATTATTATGATTAAATAAATAATTCATAAATCTGTTTTTATGTCTTACTTACTGACTTACGTCTGTTACCACTCGTGGGGGAGCATAGGCCGCACACCAACATTCTCTATCTAACTCTGTTCTTGGCAATCTTGGCCAGTTCTTTCCAGTTGTTATTTATCTGTTTCATAGCAGCTATGAATAATGTAATTTAATAGTTGAATTTGTGATTTGAATAAAGCTAGACTTAAATGGAAAACTTAAAAGTATTGGACGTTAGTTTTGTCTTAGTATTTATTCACTTATTTGGACACATAAATATTGATACAAAGAGGCACCAGATATATATGCGCCACACAAATCTCATTTGTTTTGTGTGAGGGCTGTGATATTACCCAGGTGCCCAAACTGAAGCAGGTGGTTTTCTTAGGTGGCCACACCCCGAGCCTTTGACCTAAAGGTCTGATCCACAAGGCATTGAAACATCGTGCGGAGATGCAGTCCCATGGTAGCCAGTGACCGACGATTGGTTTATACGCCATTTGTTTCTCCAGGATCCTGGAGCCCATATACACCATTGGTTTGGGATGAAGGTTTTCCAACTCCCCTAAGTAGAATCTGAGTATCCAGCGACCTGATTGAAGCGCCGGGCATTCACTTTTCATCCTCTCAATTTTGTAAACAACACCCCCGCCATGAGAAGGTAGTGAGTAGGACTTCCGTGGCAGAGGCTATATACGCGTGGTCAGGTGAGAGCATTTGGAGAGGGAGAGCGGACTATCCCTTTATAGGCAGTACCAGGGCATTTGTTCTACTATAGCATTTCTCAGCAGTGCTTATCCATGATCCCACTTGTTTTGTGAATAAAATAATATTTTGTATTTATTGAAAAATTATCGTATCATAAAAATGGACGTAATCACTGAGTTGCGTTGTCATCACTATCGGTAAAGGTGCTGGTGTAAACTATCATCAGATAACGAGGTTTAATTAGCATGCTCAGTCGTAAAAACGATTTGACATTTAATGTTCAGATATTCACACTTGTGGAATGGGATATATTGTGGGGATATTTGGGTCCCAATTTCACTACTGTGTGAAGCTTTTATAACGCCTCAAAATTCATGATTGGGTCTAGGTTTAGTAAAGTATCAAGGGAAGCTATGTTGAGAATCAATATACTTTTTTAGTAGGTACATAGTTGGAGAGTTAGTCACCAACATTTTTCCATTATTTTAGAAATAAATGGAGTAATGTTTATGGGTCGACAATTGTTCATTTCAGTCTTATTCCTAGATTTGTGACGTGTTATGATGTACGCTGTTTTCCAACAGTAAGTGTAAACAACTCAGAAGTAGTGAAATATATAATGCACCATATTTGTGGAGAAAGGATGAAATCCCGTCTACTTTATAAGGGCTTGGAATTTTAAGGGAGTTTATAGCTTTACTAATTTCTAGATAAATAGAAGAATAGATTTTATGGAATTACTAGTCACATATACGACTCTTGAGCCAGTTCCACTTCTAAATTCATTATTGTTTGCAAACATACCACGTATGTATTTATAAATCCATTAAAAATAATATCATTCATATTAGTCGAAGTGTAGGGGGCTTTGTATACACATTCAAGGAGTAGACTATGATTCGGAAAGTTGACTGATACTGTAGACACTGTCTTCAACTTTATTAGTTGTTAGGCTATTCAAGGCATATATAAGACAAATATGGCCAAAAATGATAATGTTTATCATCCAAAGAATACATTACATCACATACTATCTTAATTTAAACAACCACGGGGCACTAGACAAGTCTTATAGTTTTCATCTGTAATGGTTTGAATGCTGTGTAAGTACCGCCAAAATTTTGTCTATGGTTACGTTAAGAATTTTAATCACCGTTTTCAGTTGTGTAATTTATCTACCTAGTTCTAAGTGTTTGGTAAATTGTTAGATGGGGTGTGTAAGTGATCTAATCAGACGATTATTTTGGGGATAAAAAATTCAACTACTTATAATAAAACTATAATACCAGCAATTCTATTAGGTGAATTTTTACATAAATGGATAGATAAATAGACCGTTAGACATTCAAGCGTTATGAACATTGTTGATCAGTTCCATATAAAGATGAAATTTCTCTCTCCACTTCTTAGTTTGCAGTAGTACTCCAAATACAATCATTCCGTGTTTAATATACTACCTGTAAAATAACGTAACCCTAACAAAGCCACTTTATCGACTATATAAATACAACTCAAAAACAAATAACTGGTAGTCATCATTTCAAGGGTTACGGACTGTTTACTTGTTTGTTCATTAAGTAATTCGAAAATAGACCTATCTACTTTACCAGTATAGCCAATAACTTGACTGTATTTCACTCACAAAATTGATACATTTTTAATCTAGATAGACAGTGTGTGAATTTTGCTACATTGTAGATACGATACATTAGAGCGAACTAAATACTGTATAAATGATCAGATACTTTTCACGAGATACTTATTGTCTATTATCCTATTTCCCATAGTAAAGATGGTGAAGAGTTTTCGACACACACAGTATTTGAATTCCTACTGAATAAAACATAATGTATATACTCGTTAATTGATGTCAAATTTCAAAAAGAATTATAATGTCTCATTTAAATATGAGACTCCTAAAAAGTGTGTACTCACAACATCCTCAATTGATCGAATACAAATTTTCATTCGGTTCCCAGTTTATAACAACACTTGACCTAAACATATCAAAATACTACTTATCTTTACAAATCTCTAGATCGAAACTGATGAAATAAAGAAGCTTACTTACTTACGCCTGTTACTCCCAATGGAGCATAGGCCGCCGACCAGCGTTCTCCAACCCACTCTGTCCTGGGCTTCCTTTTCTAGTTCTATCCAGTTCTTGTTCATTCTTCTCATGTCTGTCTCTATTTCTCGGCGTAATGTGTTCTTTGGTCTTCCTCTTCTCCTTTAACCTTCAGGATTCCATGTGAGGGCTTGTCTTGTGACACAATTAGCTGATTTCCTCAAGGTGTGCCCAATCAACTTCCATCGCTTCTCCCTGATTTCTTCCTCTGCTGAAATCTGGTTTGTTCTCTCCCACAGTAACTTATTGCTGATAGTGTCTGGCCATCGGATCCGAAGTATCTTGCGTAGACAAGTGTTAATAAACACTTGTATCTTCTGGATAATGGATTTCGTATTTCTCCACGTCTCCGCCCCATACAGTAGAACTGTCTTGACATTTGTATTGAAAATTCTAACCTTGGTGTTGGTTGACAATTGTTTTGAGCTCCAGATGCTTTTCAGTTGTAAGTATGCTGCTCTTGCTTTGCCGATCCGCGCCCTCACATCTGCATCTGATCCACCGTGTTCATCAATGATGCTGCTCAGATATGTAAAGATTTCCACATCCTCCAAAGCTTCTCCGTCAAGTGTAATTTGATTGGTGCATATTGTATTGTATCGAAGAGTCTTGCTTTTCTCTTTGTTTATATTGAGATCTACTGCTGCTGAGGCTGCTGCTACACTGGTCGTTTTCTCCTGCATTTGTTGTTGCGTTTGTGATAGAAGAGCCAGATCATCCGCGAAGTCTAAATCGTCAAGCTGCATCCTGCCTGTCCACTGTATCCCGTGCATTCCTCCAGATGTTGACGTCTTCATGATCCAGTCGATGACCAGGAGAAAGAGAAAGGGTGAGAGTAAGCAACCTTGCCTAACACCGGTCTTTACTTGAAACGAGTCGGTGAGTTGTCCTCCGTGGACGATTTGGCAGTTTAGTCCATCATAGGAGTTCCGTATGATATTTACTATCTTCTCAGGCACGCCGTAGTGTCGAAGAAGCTTCCATAGTGTCGTCCTGTCCACACTATCAAATGCCTTCTCGTAGTCGATGAAGTTCATGTAGAGTGATGAATTCCATTCGATTGATTGTTTCACAATGATACGTAGAGTTGCGATTTGATCTGT